AAGAAAAGTAACTTGGATAAAACAGCGATACACAGTTAAAGTGAACAGTCAACAGTCTTATAGCCGCACCTACTCAAATTAATTGCATTATAGATACTACATACACACATGGATAACAAACAGGAAGTGATATTGATGTGCCATATGCTATGCTCTTGACGCCGGATATGACTCACAGAGCATATGATGAATAATCTACACACGTGAATAAGCATGGCCATTAGCAATGAAGACAGATAGTGAGGAGTTTCACTTCATTTAGAGCCAAGTTCTCAGTTGGATGAGCTCCAGGTGAATACTTCTACCACCAAGTAGGTCAAATCACACATTTATTTTGTGATGAAGTCAAAAGGGGATGAAACAAAAGCTGTAGAGACTATTGTGTATTACATCAAACATAAGATATTATTTTATATGCCTATAATAATAATTTTAGTCATAATTTAGGTTCAACAGATGCTTTTTGCAATCTATATTTACAAAGTTTTATCAACACCTTCACTCTTTCAGAACAAAATTCATCGTGTGCAAAGTTGGCGTATTCCCTTCCTGTTTCTCACTTAATCATGTGAGACTAAATTATCATAAACTTTAATTCATAACAAAGTAATCATATTCATGGAGACTGTAATAATATTCATTAATGCAATATTATATTTATAGCAAAACATTAATGCTGTCACTTGCTTGCAAAAGCAACAATACATAGAATTATCAACAAAAACAAAACTGCATTTAGTAATGGAAAAATAGCAGTGCTATCTGGTAGAATCAATAATGGCAAGTTTCCTACTCACTTATTTGTTGAAATCCATGCTTCACTTAAGCTGCCATACACCAGGAAAACGAGAACATCAACTTCCATTGCAACCGAGTCTGGAATGAGAGAAGGGAGATAAAATTACCTAATTACTAGAACAAGTAAGTTCCTAAAGAATCAAAAGATATGCACAAATATTTAAAAAATATTTGAAGTTCAATGCATAATTGATAAACAGTGCATGGTAAAAATTTAAAAGCAGCACAAGTGGTACAATTTTTTAATTCCTTTTAAGTTTCGGTATTTATAATTTAAAGTCAGACATTACTGTATAGCCAGTAATTTTCGTGGGTTGCAAAGTTCATGGATTTCGCGGATTCCTTATTGATTCATGAAAATTAATTTAACACGGTACCTGCATGGTACACGTGGTAGAATTCACGAAATTAAAATCTGCGAATTGGATTGTTAGTAGATTTCACGAAATATAGGACCCAAAAAAATTACCAGCCATACGGTATTATATGTACATGTATTACAAAAGGCTTACTGATACTGCATTGTGTCCATTCTACAGGTACAATGGATAACAAACAGTAGTCCCCCAACTCAACAGTCAACAATCATATGATTAACACATGTCAGGCTGAGGCTGTCCTTGCCTGTAGCCAATCTATGATGAAACAGTCAAAAAATTATAGCTACATGTACATGACATCAACTAACTTTCTCTAACACAAGCATCCGTGACTACAAGACGCACCTAAAAGTGTTCAAATTAAGTTGTTACTACTTGTCTTGTACTTTACCGTAAATATCAATATATGACTTTAAAATACACAAATCCCGATAACCATGTACAAGGGAGTGGCGACTCCGCCCCATCAAACAAAAGCAAGAACTGGTCCATCACTACAAGACGCACCTAAAAGTGTTCAAATTAAGTTGGTAAAACTTGTACTTTACGGTAAATATCCATAAATCCAATTAAAATACACAAATCCCGAAATACAAGGGAGTGGCGACCCTGTCCCGTCCAACAAAGATCAGGAACTGGTCCGTCACTACAAGACGCACCTAAAAGTGTTCAAATTAAGTTGGTAGTACTAGTACTTTATCGTAAAAATCAATAAATGACTTTACCATTTTAGGTTGTCGACATTAATCCATTCAGTTACTCCTGGCTCACAAGGATGAATTACAATAGCATCATATATCTACATGTACACACAGTAAGTTATACAGTTGTATCAATTAAAGATGAAAAATTACTTAATGATCATGTACATGTACATTGTACATCATGCAAATGCAAATTTCAGGAATTCAAGAAACAAAAGTAGGAAAATTACATACCGTACATTTGAAATGAAGAACTACACATCCTGTATGCACATGTACATGTACATAGGTATCAAGCAGGCTAAAATAATTATTTGAGTGTGGTCAAATGCTTAAATAGTACTACAATAGAGTACTCGTACTCATACTCAATACAATTTGCAAAAATGAGGGACTTGTACTTGTACTCATTAAAAAATTTTAGCAGGTACATGTAATGTACTTAAATACTTCTTAGAGTACATGTACTTTGCCCCAAGCCCGGTAGCAAGTAGAAATTTAGGCAAATAAAATTTTAACAAATTATTCCTATAAACCAAAACCTTAACTTTAAATGTTGGCATGGTAAAACATTTGTAAAAAATTATTAATTTCCGAACCTTCATTTTTAAAAAGCAACTTGCCCAAATTATCTATTCCAAACTACATGCATCTACTATGTACGACATACATGTTACATGTAGCTACACAATATATCATCATTACCTGCCACGAGTCTCTGTGAACAACAAGAGCTAGTAAGAAGTCTGCAATTAAGTCAATGAGAATGGACTGGAAGACCTAAATAGATCAATAAACTCCTTTATCTCAGTAATAGTGTGAATCAATCATACCTTTAATGTGCCATCAACTGTAACGGCTATCACTGCATCTGTAATGTGAGTAAGAGAGAGGAGACAAAAGTGTTAAAAGTGTAAAAACAAACCCAATTTATGGACTATTAATAATAAATTAGTGTCATGTCTTCAGAAGAATTACTGTACGTGTTATCATTTTGAAAAATGTGATGTAGTATTAACACAACATACAAAACTACATAATACATGTACATATATGTCTTGGTGTAGCCATTGACAAAAGGTCTCAGAAAAGCTCATAAACATAATTGTAGACTGATCAAAATTACATGAATGCATTAGAAAATAGACAAAAAGTATTGAAAGTACTAATTATTAAATTGGGTACCTCTAACCACAGAATAGAGGCCCCACATGTACATGTATGTCTGTCAGCAGTTAATCAACAGAACAGGTGACTGTATAAAACGTGCATTGTTTCACAAGTATACACTACAAACAATGTTGACTACACAATTAATCACATCAAAAATTTCATAGATGTACATGTGTATAGCAAATAAATTATAATAATTGCATATAACAATTTCTCTTTTTTGTTATAAAAAATTATAATAGATTGCACACACTTTTAGGACAACCTCAGACATTGAGTTGAGGTTGTACAAATTAACATTACAGTCATTTAGTTTATCATTACTAGCTTTCAAATAAGAATAAGACATGAACCAAGAAAAACACACAAAAAAGACAGAAATAAAACCAGAGAGCATTCATGAAGGTGAGAG